ACGCGAATATTATACGCGGTATAAAAAAATAAAAGAAAAGAAAAATAGCGTCGATTTCAAAGCTACTCAAATGAAATCGTTTTGAACAATCTAGAAATAAACAGATTTTCCGAAGACGGATCACGAGATTGCTTGCGAGACAGCGACGAAACAGATCATTACCGTCTCTTGACACCCGTCGTGCGAACGCGTGTAATCTATTGTACTCTAATAAAGATTAAGCTGTTTAGTTAACAAGATATTCAATCCGATCCGTATTCCGTAACACTAAACAAAATTCCAAGCTAGTCACAATAATGAGGGAGGTGCATGCAAATTAACGTAACCGTCTTGTTTCATGTAAATGTGCCGTCATTATTTAAAAGATCTTTAAAACTTCATTTACCTCGTACTCATGATATTGACGACGAAGAGGATTCCGTACTTGACTGACTAAAAGAACATTTTAGGATTGATAGTATATAATCGTCATGGAATCATAAATTGTTCTTTTAGCCAGTCAATATAAATGAGATAAATGAAGTTTTAAAGATCTTTTTAATAATGACGGCACATTTACATGAAACAAGACGGTTACATAATTTGCATGTATTATACCTTCGTCACTTTTTTATTAGATAATGTTTTAATAATCACGTTTTAATTACAGTTAAAATGTGCGTTAAAAACAAGCATTTGCACAAATAGACGTTTGGAAGAATTGGAAGATTAAAGAGAGGGATTATGAAAATACATAAACAACAATTCAAGATTGTAAAAATGTAAATGTATCTTTAAAAAAATATCTGTATTTTTAAGACCAGTATCCACAAGTTTAAGCTGATATTAATATTTACAATTGATACATTTACAGTTTTGCTTTTTCAAATTGTTATATGCGAATATTGCTTGTGTTTTAATATAAGTTTTGGAATATTCAATTCAAATAATAACACGTAAGCTAGTACGATCTGGCAGTTAGGCAAACTTAAATTGTACATCAATATTTCCATTTTCATAATCATATAATCCTTTCTTTGATTATTCATGTACTTTTTCATATAAAAAAAAGAAAATACCAAACTTCTAATTTTAATCAAAATTTTGAAATATTCCCCGAATTTATTGACAATTTTTCGATATCAAAAAATTTTCGAATTTTTTAAAACAAGCTCACGCATTTCGAGCTATAGATATCCGCAACACTTATAACATCATCGTCACTTAATTTGTCAATTATTCGCACGATATATTTTCGATTGGACAAATATTGCGAAATATTATATTAATACGCTTTTATTCTGGATGTAGAGTACCTCATCCGAACAAAGAGAGGATTTCAAAATAACACAAATATTTTATCTCTTTTGTTGTATGTACAAAATAAATTTGTATACATGTACACCCTATCCTAGCACAATTTATCGGCGCAACATTGGCCCAATGTATGCCAATTTGTTTAACCAATATTTCGCCAATGAACTGTGCTATTCGGATAGTCAAGTACTATTTTTTTTAATCACTAAATTTATTTAAATTTGTCAAAAATTAACATATTTTTTTTAATATCCCGAATTCTGGATGTGGAATTCAATCCACAGGAACTCTGGGTGTGGAAAGCTCCATACTCTGCATAAGAAAGTCTCCGTCTATATTCAGAGCCGAGATCGTCCAGTGTTCTGCAAACGTCCTGCAAGTCGAACGTTAAAATAAAATAGAGGAAGAAGATATAGGTAAAACAATTTGAGCGATGCACAGTAGCCGATTTAATTCAGAATTTGTCCTAAAGAATGAGAACGCAATAGGACAAAATTAGATTGGATAGAATTGAATTTAGGATAAATAATTTGATTTGCTGAATTGCTCTGAATTGCCCTGATTATGCGCATTTGTTTCACGTGTATTCTTCTACGTTAAGATGACAAAAAGACGTGCTTCGTTTCTGACGGTTTTATATTATAATTGCATTATTTATTGTAAAATTTAATAATCGCTGCCTTTTTTTTCCTCATCATATTAAAGAAAATATGTATTATAAAAATTGCACTTATAAATTAATTTTAAATTAATTCATTTTTAAAAATATTACAATAAATTTTTATAATAAAAAAGTATTAAACTAATTCAAATCTTAACTATACAAATTACTCAATTGCATGTTTTAAATTAGAAGGTAAATAATTTGACAAATATTATTCACGTTGTACATTATACAATTTTTTTATTGTCATTATACAACTCCGTTTAGTTTTCAACTCCGTTTAATATTCACAGTTATCAGCAGAATATGTAGTAACTTTGTACGTCATTATTTAAAAAAATTAGACATTTCTATGGTAACTCGGTTTACTAAAGAACCATCTTAGTGTTATTCGCAAATTATCAATTAATTGTTTCCCGATAAATTTAAGATTAAAGTAAAAGAGGAAACTCTCTACAAAACTTCTGAGACACATTATTTTTGAAGAGAGTTAAAATATTATATGAATTTAATATTTACAACAAAATAATAAAGTAAATCATTGCGTTCACGTAAGAAAAAAAATTTCAATTTCGAAACTCTGAATTTCAAAGTAACATGTATGCAAATTTCAGTATCGTTTGTCGAAAGACAGAAATATAGATATCGCCAGC